GGGTCAGTAATAGTAATTATATTTTTTTGAAAGTTACCATTCTCTTCTTTCGAAAAAGCGGCACTTATCCGAAGAAACGGCTATTGACCATAATAAATAAATAAATAAAATAAAATCAACGAATCTGCTGGTCTATTTCGGAATGTTTCTTGTTGATTCCTTGTTCTGATTGGCAGATAAACCTCTGGAAAAATCCCATATAAGATATACGGGTAGTTGGGCTGTGGGTGGAGGTTTCTCATATACGGTGAATGTCATATTCCATTTCGAGAGTTGAAAATCTTAAGGAAAGTCGAAAAACAAAAGCGACAGACCGAAAAAGAACACAAAGACAAAAATAAACAAGTAATTCACTGGGGAAAAGTATCGGTTGGAGACATCAGTGAACAGTATTGACAATGGTGATACGTATCCTTTGATTAATCTTAACAATATATGATTCTTTTTTTAGCCACGAATTACACAGGCTGATTTAAGTCCGACGAAACGAGAGGAGCGTCTCTATTCAATCGGCTTCAGATCTGAATTCAAAACTAAGCCACTGCCTGAAAAAAACAAAAAAAAAACTTTGAATATATGATTGTCCTTCCTAAACAAGACCGAAAGAAAAGCATTATTGTCAGCCATCACAAAGTTTCACATAAGTAAATACACGAAATATTGATTTCTAATGAAAATAATCAAAATACGTGCGTAGATTGGAAAGTAAACAGACAAGCATTTAGATAGTAATTCTATCTAAGTTTTCGTATATGCGCCGTGTCCCTTCAGGGTGTGAGTGATCATGAATTTCCATAATTATCTGTTCTTATTTGCTCTTAAATTTTGCCTTTTTGCTATCTTTCTTAATCCATGTTCTGGTAAATATTTACACAATCTCATTGGGTAGATTATATAATCCTTTCCTCTGTTGACTTTACTTTGTCCTATAAGTTTTAAATTTTCTGAGCTTTTTTTCTTATTCTTAAAATATTCAGCTTGTCTCTTTCTTATCCTGAGTAAAAGAGTTCTTTTTGTTTCCACTTTCCATAAAAATTTGTAGTTGCTCACGTGTTCAGTCTAAGCTTTTCTCAGCATCCTTTTGTGGAAACTAATTTCTGTTGCCTCAAGTCTCTTCTTCATCTGTGAGGAAATTCTTCAGAGTGTACCACCATGTACTTTGTTTTGTTTTTTTTTTAGTTTGTTTTACGACTTATCAACGTCAATTGGTATTTAATACCGACAAGATTTTTATCGCTGGTAATATTTTTCCCCAAAAGTATTTTTGGTAACATTTTTCCAAAAATGTATTGTTGGTAATATTTTTTTACAAACATGTATTGCTGGTAATATTTTTTCAAACATATATTGCTGCGAATGTTATTTCCAAAAAAAGTGTTGCTGGTAATAATGTATTGCAGGAAGTAATTTTCTTACAAAAATGTATTGCTTGTATTAAAACTTGGGGTTAACTATTTGCCCATAGCTGGGAACACCAGCAATTAAGAGGGGTGGTTCCACGCTCCTCAAAACCTTCTGGTCAGACGCCTTGCTCTCGGATGTACTTCATCGTCTTACGAAGGAAGTGGATGTATTTTATCGTCATACCAAGGATGGTTGCCATGTAGTGGAGGGAGGCAATATTGCTTTGTTTCTAAAGAAATCTTTCTGTTTCATAACACCTTATCATTTCACGTAGATTCTTCTTTTTTTATTTATGTTTTTTCGTTTCTTTCATAATGCCTCGATGTGGTTGGCGTAATAAAATAGAATCAAGACACTCAGCTACATATTGCAACGTAATTTGTTTGCATTGACATCGCAATCGTAATTAATATCATATGAAAAGGAATTAATCCATGCCTCCATCCACTAAAACCATCTTGAATGGAAATGAGCTCCCTGTTTTTGTCAAGGCACATTCATGCTGATTTTTGGCTCCAGTACATGTGATGCAATAACTAACCTATAATGAGTTATCAAATGCATACCTCCTAAAAATATACATGTTATATATATCTAACCGCTAGAGTAGATAGCAGAGTGTTACTTGAAATCGCAAATGAATTCTCTAGTCAATTAAGCAAATTATCACCAGGTGTCCCAACACTGAATAAATTTACTAAACATCTTAGTTTGTGGTTTACGTGCAGTAATTTATAACAAACTTATCTAAAAAAAACTTTCCTACGCTTTTGATTTCAATTATCACTAAATAAGTGACACTCATAGCTTTGTGCCAAACTAAGCTCAGGTCAGAAAATAATGAAAAGTTGTATACCGAACTTAAAAGCAAGATAAATTAATGGAATACTTGTAAATAATAATGATATTTGGCGGCGATTTGTGTATGAAAATAATGTTCTATACTTCTCGGCTTTTAAAACAAAAGAAATAGGATGAAAGAGATACAAGTAACAAATTAATAATTGATAAATCTGCAAAACAAAAAAAATAATTCCTACAATTATTCGGAGGTGTAACAAGCAAGAAAATCTACATGAAAGAAATGCTGCTTAAATATTAATATTTGTCATGTGTCATCTACAAAATTGAAACAACTGATAATTTTTGTTACAAGGTGTAAAAAGTGTCAGAAGATGTCAGACGTTTTCGTAAAAAATTAATAAGAACATAAAGGCCATTATCTAAGAATTTCAAACACGAATATTTTTAAAGAAGGGAAAGGAAATGAGACCAATGTCAGTTAAAAATTTATAACAATTGACAATGTTTCTTCAAAAAACCTAAGACAAAACTGTAACTAGCAAACTTTTATTTAATTCCTATCTATTCGCTATTCACCCGGTTCACACTTTTCCTCTGTCTTTTGAACAGGAGTAGAGGGTGATCCCTTGTTTCGTCTTTAGGACTGGGTTTCTGTTTCCTTCTAAAGGGTACTTCAACTGTATATTTCTAAACTCTCCGTTTAAAACTTTGAAGTTTTATTTACTATTTATTTATATTTTTCCTCAATAGGAGAACATATTTTGATCTATCACCGGGTTCACACTCCTCCGCAGCCTTTCAAACAAGAGTAAAGGTTTATCCCTTGTTTCGTCTTTAGGACTGTATTTCCGGTTTCTTCTAACGTCTTCTCATTCTCTCTCACTCCCAGTAGCTTCTTGCGTCTTAGTGGCATTATCGCCTTGCTTGGGATGAATTGATTAAAAAGAAATTGCAAAAAATAATTCGGTGTAAGTTGTTTTATGCTTGTAAAAATGTGTATGAACGCAGATAAAATTAATTTTGAATTATTTTATGACTTCCACACGTTTTTCTTATTCAATTTTCTTTAAATAAAGAAACATGCTGACAACATTTTTAAGAGAATTTATTAGTCTTTTTTCTTTTAGTTTAAGGCAAAGTTTGGCAGAAGTTCACAGTCTTGGAGAACCGAATCAAAATACAATGTTTACTGATTCTTCAAAAAGGAAAATTAAGTGCTTTCGAAATAAAAATTAGAACAATTTTTCTTCTCGATAGACGTTGAGAAGCTCTTGTCTCAGTCCAAATTGCTCATTGGTTTAAATTAAGGAAGAATAAAGCAAAAAAAGAATGAAGGAAAGTTACATTTTTTTGAAGTCTGTGGCTAGAAACTCTTTAAAATTGCCGGCAAGTGATCATTCTTGTGTTTCATTCTATATGAATTTGAAGCCAGTTAAATGAGATTTATTTAGCTTTGTTTAAACAAGAGACTAATGATATAATAATTTCTCCATCTTTTTTAAACTTCGCTTTAGAGCATAGAACCATATTCTCAATATACTAGACGTTGGTGCTCTGCTTTTTGTAAAAAGTCTGGAGTTGCCAGTCTCAGGCCTAACAAGATTTTAATTCCATTTCCCTTCTCCTACAGCGGTTGGAAACCAAAGCTAGATTTCCTAGTATCATAGAATCTCTCTACACTGTTGATATCCCGTCCCAGCGAATGAACTTGTAAAAGACCATTAAGTTGACTATTGGCTTTCCTTCGCAAAATCACTGTCGGCGGTCACCATTATGTAGAGGAACATAGACAGTTAACATTGTGTTTGTGTGTGAACACACACACACTCATACAAATGTTCACACACAAACACAATGTTAACTGTCTATGTGCTTTGTAAATGTTTTGTTAATACACACACGTATATATATATATATATATATATATATATATATATATCAGTCTTTGTTTGTCGTCTTTATCTTCAGTTGGACTTAATCCAAGTACAACGTATTGTATTGTACCTGGACCTTCTTACAGCAGGAAATATTAACGGACGTGTTTTCTTTACATCTACGCCCCACGATCCTCTACATAATGGTGACCGCCGACGTTATTTTGCGAAGGAAAGCCAATAGTCAACATAACCATGCGAATGTTGTAACACCTCCATGCCATAAATGCAGCAGGGATCAATCTCTCAGTCGGTTGGCAGGAGATGTTGGTGTATCTGTCTGGTTCCGATTAGTACCGAGCCGCCTCCGAGCCGCCGATGATTGGACATGATCCTCGGATCTGTTCCGTACTGTGTTATTGCACGGGCTAGGAAAATCTGAGAACCGAAAAGACCAGTGTCAGATCTCCACGTTAAAGCAAACTGACCTTGTGTCGCATCGGTTGGGGGAGTCAAAGGCAAATGTCGAGGAAAGCACACGCCAGTGTTAATGAGCGGCCCTGTTACGGCAGTCGATCTTTTAACCGACTGCCAGGGAAGATATTTTGAGATCATGTTTTAAGGAAGATATTTTGAGATCATGTTGCTCCCCAAAAGTTGATTCCTGTTATCTGCCAGTGTTAATGTACGATCCTGCCGCCACAGTTGATCCTCCTAACCGACCGTCTGTTCAGGAAGATTTCAGTTCTCACCGAACATTATGATCCTATTTCCCTTTTCAGGACGAAGACTATTTCTTTCCCGCAAATACATGGTATGCGGTAACTAACTGTCCTTTTCAAGACAAAAACTAAGTCTGTTCCCAGCGGCATGGATATGTACGAACCATCTTCATTTTCCGGACCAACAAATCAGTGTATGTCGATAGCTGATGGAAAATTACCAATACCATTTGTGCATATCAACGATTCCGCACGACACCTATTGTTCAGACGTCTGCGCATACCAACTGTTCAGGTTATCTTCGGCGCAACATCAACTGTTCTGGTATTCTTCTGCACAGTACCAATTTTTCCAGGTATTTTCTGCACCCACCAACGCTCCCGATTGTTTTCTGCGCTCACCAACGATTCCGTTTATCTTCTGAGCGCTTCAACGGTTCCGTTTAATTTCTGTGTCCAACAACGTTTCCGTTTATCTTCTGCGCCCACCAACTGTTCCGTTTATTTTCTGCACCATTCAACGGTTCCGTTTAACTTCTGGGCCCACCAACGGGTCCGTTTATCTTCAGTGCCCACCAACGATTCCGTTTATCTTCTGCGACCACCAACGGTTCCGTTCATTTTCTGTGCCCTTCAACGGGTCCGTTTATCTTCTGCGCTCGCCAAACTATCCGTTTATCTTCTGGGCCTTTCAACGGGTCCGTTTATCTTCTGCGCTCGCCAAACTATCCGTTTATCTTCTGGGCCTTTAAACGGGTCCGTTTATCTTCTGGGCCCACCAACTCTTCCGTATATTTTCTGCGCCCACCAACTGTTCCGTTTATATTCTGCGCCCTTCGATGGTTCGTTTTGGCTTCAGTGCCCTTGAACCATTCCGATTATCTTCTGTGCCAACCAACGGCTCTGCTTATCTTTTGTGCCGACCAACGGTTCCCTTTAACTTCTGCACCCTTCAAAGATTCCTTTACCTTCAGCTCTCACAAACTTATCCATTAATCTTCTTCGCCCAACAACGGTTCTGTTTATCTTTTGTGAGAACCAACGCTCACGTTTATCTTCTGTGCCCACCAACGGTTCCGTTTAACTTATCGGCCCAGCAACTGTACCGTTTATTCCCTGCGCACAACAACGGTTCCGTTTATCTTCCGTGCCCAGCAACTCTTTCTTTTAACTTCTGTGCCCACCAACACTTCCATTTATCTACCGCGCCCAACAAATGTTTTCGTATATCTTCTGTGCCCTTCGATGGTTCCGCTTATTTTCTGTGCCCAACAACGTTTCTGTTTATCTTCTATACAAACCAACATTTCTGTTTATCTTCTGCAACCTTCGACGTTTAGTTTCTGTGTTTAGATTCTGTGCCCTTCAACGGTTCCGATTATCTTCTGCGCCCACCAACGGATCTGTTTAAATTTTGTGCCAACTAACGGTTCCCTTTATCTTCTGGGCCCTTCGACAGTTCCGTTTAGTTTCTGTGCCCTTGAACGTTTCCGATTATCTTCTGCGCCTACGAACGGTTCTGTTTATCTTTTGTGCCCACCAACGGTTCCATTTATCTTCTGTGCCCACCAACTCTGTCTGCTATTAAATTGTAATATAGATTTGGTTCCAAGAGAATTCGGAATTTTCCACAGCTGAGAAAAATTTCTGATTTTGGGGGAGAAGTTCAATTAGAAACTGATGACGATCAACAAAGAAAACCTTAAAACTTATTTTGAAAAGAGGGAGAGACGCTGAAATCATTTATTTTCTGAAATCCCAAAGTGTATATAATGAAAAGGAAAAAAATAAGTTACATTATCGATTATAAGAAATGATTGGATACTTTTCAAACAGATATCGTATGGTTACAACCTAGATAGGGACTTATCGAAATATGATAAACAAATTATCACGCAATAACTGAAAAGATAATCTATTTTATTTATAATTCTTAACAAAGGCAATTCGCTTAGAACAGTTTTACTCAAACTTTTTAAGCAAAGGAAAATATCACGGCATCCTTAGTAAAGTTTTTTAAGAATATATTTTTAAATGTTATGAAATAAAACCATAGATTTAAAAATATACATATACAAATATGAACTTACTTTATTTCAATATTTCTTTTGGATTATCTTTGTAGAATCTTGTGGCTGGTATAGTTTTCGCGAATTGTCTAATGTTTGGTCGAATGTGTGATAAGCAGACCCTCATTTCTTTTTTAGTTGAACGCAATCTTTCTTTTTTCTCATTTTTATGTCATTTAGTGGGACATTTTAGACTCTCTCCAAATTACTTCGGAGGTTTGCTTGTCGAACTCTGCTGGGAGGTAGAAAGATATCCGACCCCGATTTTACGGGGTCTACGTAGATATTTTTGCCCCAGCCTAATGGATCGGATACCACACAATAAATTCGGCCTTGTGTCACATCCGAACGCGTGGGGCGGTTAGTGAATATCCTACTTAACGACTGTGAGTAAATGGATGGTGAATTGAGTTTTAAGATAGCAAAAACACAAATTTTATTAAGATCTACAAAGAACAGGAAATTGTGGAGAGCCATAATCGCCTACGTCCTGAAGAGAGATAGTACAGAGAAACAAAACCACTTTCATTAGTTGCTTCTGAATCTGACTCCTGAGTTTAATCCGTGTTTCTAGGTGGATTGAAAAGCAATCAGTTCTACCAAGACATTGTCGCAGAAATCAAGCAG